TCATAATGCTGCTCTCCTTGGAGGAATCTCTAGTATCTAGTAATGGTCAACTTCTCTAACTGCCTGTTTTCAGAAGACTTGTAGGAAATCAATTTACATTAAACTGTCCAATAGATTCTAGATTCAAGAGAGGAGAATGCTCCCCTCCTAAGTGAAATACAACGTATTGCTGCAGGAAAATGAGCTAATAATCCCTTAGCTTCAGTATTGCTGAACTTTGCTACCAGCAAAATGCTGCATTTGTAATTGGTAATGTTCCGTAAGAGAGAGAATATTTAGAGGGAGGCAAAATCAAAGGTTATTTGCACTCTGCTTTTAATGATCTATCTTATTCTCTCGGCTATTGCCTCTTGACTGTGAGATTTTGTTCAATAAGCTGTAGACAGTGGCAATGAGCAGTAAGCCTTGGCTTGTTTTATCCAATGTGCTCCCACTCACCTTTTGAGCATTGGGAATGAGCGTTTTTCAACAATACTGTAGTAATAGGTGACAGCCACTCCAAAGGAAAGGATTCTGTATTTACATAATGAACTTGAGTTGATGGCTTAGTCAACAGAAAATGTTGAACAAGATATCTGTGGGTGTTTTGTGCCATCAGTAATCAAGTGATAAGGGTATGTCTGACCCGAAGGAAATGAGATCTCATGGTGAGCATGCAAGTCTGAAAATTCAAACTTGATTTCCCTGTAACTCAATGTTTCTTGCTTCACTCACTTCAAACTTGGCAGCTGTAACCAGCAAACTCCAATTTTGATTTGAAATGTGTATGTGGCACATGTGGCGCAGGGTGCGGTTGTGCTGGTGCCTGCACAGTCATCAGGAATCTGGACCAAGGGGTGTGATTTGTCAGGGGTGTTCACCCAGGCGCTGAGGTTTTCACAGAGCTGAATTGGGTTGCGGATTGGTGGGGTGAGGGTGGAAATCTGCTGGAAAATGTGTCAGCGTTTTAATAATAACTCAAAGCTCGATCGCTAGTAAAATCTTGTATTTTAAAATACTAAGCTTCCCATTACAAAGTCAAAGAAAATTACTGTTCTGAACTATTGAAAAGGTCTCCTGCTTTAGAGAGATAAGATTCTCTTGGTATCCAGAAGGGCATGACATTTTTCCCTTGTTTGATTATATTAGGTATATTAAATATGACCTCAATGTTTAAGGTTGCTCAAGCTGTAAGAGTTCAAAAGATTTCGGATGAGATATTTTTTTTCAATTTATTTTGTTAAGCCTTTGCAATAATTGTAAATAGTCAATCTTTTAAAGAGCAAATAATAAGAGGTCAAATAATCCATATATGTATGACTCTGTATTTAATCACAAAGGAAAGTTCACAGGAAAAGAAATGTAGCTGTGGCTGTTAGAAAGACAGATATTCAAGAACAATCATTGGTGTATAAGTAAAAATGCTTTAATCCAAAGAAGAGTGTGTAGAATTGTGAAACATCATTGATAATTCAGAAGATAAGAAGGTATGAGGAATACTACTTTTCAGCTATAGATGTTCACTGTTAGAAAGTAGACTTGATTAAATATCATCAAAGAGACAAGAGGAATGACCTTAGTGGTGTTGTAGTTAATGAAGGATGATTTTACTATCAGTTTGTAGTTCAAGATTGGTAGGCTTATTTTTAAGATTAAAAATAAATGAGCTCAGTCATTCTTTATGTTGATTCCTGATTATTCTGAGTACTAAAAATTGAGTTTAGGAAAAGTGCAATGGATTTTCTCTTTCCGCTAATTTCTGTTAAATTTTATCACAGGTATCTCCAGTTCTTTGCAGATAGTGTTTTGCAGTTCTCTTGCCTTTCACAATATTTAATGTGTCAAATGGACTGGATGATCTCTAAGGTCTTTTCCAACCTAGAAAATCTATGAAATCTATGAAATTCTAATGTCCAGTGTCAGAAGAGGAGTATTAGTTTCTGTTTAGTAAAGAAATTAAAAATAATCACTTAGTCTACACTTTCAGTGTAAGAGATAACTTGGGAGCAGTAAGTCACACATACAAAAAAAAGAATCGTTAAAATCCCAGTCACCAGTTTTAGTAGTGGTATTTTTCGTTTGGGTGGTGAGGCTCAATTCATGAGCTCAGAGTTAAACTGACAGTGCAGTTGTCTGGTGCCCTTAGGATGGGAGGGAAACCCTCCATGTCCTTACTGTTGTTAACAGACAGGTGATTTGTAGCAGTAGATTCCAGATGTTGCAGTTCCAGAAAATACTTTTTTTTTTAAATGTCATGCCTAATACTTTCAAAGCATTAACTCATGTTTCATAGATGTCCTAGCTGAAAGTTTAAGATGATTTTCTGTACATGAGCGTTCTCATTCTTGCCATCAGCTTTGTGACTGTCAAAATTAACTAGTAAAATTTTGCCTTTTCTCTAACTTTATTTTGCAGAAAAATACACATTTCAATAAGTTGTCAAAGTTAGTTCACAAGAAAAAATAATTAAAAAATAAATAAATATCAGGTTTCTGTTTAACTCATCCAAAATCTGAAACAAGTATGCCACTTTCGCATCGTTTTTTGTTCCTTTAAGTTTCAAATGCTGTTTGACAGGGACTGCCTCGCATGATTTATTTTTTTTTTCCCCCCCAATAAAACACAATCCGGACCTCAGCTGAGACATTTTAAGAGCCACTGTTATTACAAGTAATGTATCATTATTGTATCTTCCATTTTGTTAATCTCACTTCAGATTAAAATGTCTGTGCAGTAGTTTAAATTAGGGAGAATTTCTTGTGTTTCTGAGCATATTAATGAGAAGAAAGGCGCTAAAAGGCCTGCACGACAAAAAAGTGTGCATGTGATTTCCCCTTTCACTGAACGAGTTACTTCCTCTTTAATGGAGTAGAACTGTTTAAAAGTTCCTACTGAGACATATTTTTTTCCTTAAAATACTGTGATTTTGTTTGATATGCAGGAAACTGTTATTACTGGTTAAAAAGAAAACCCCAAAGTTAGGGTTTGGCGTAGAAAACACTGAAACTTTTGCAATGTAAAGAGTCATTCTATTTCCATGGTATCAAACAGACAATTCCAAACAAAGTGAGTATTTTCATTTGGATGCTTGGAACTATTGATTCACAAGAAAAATGGTGACTCTAAATCTCTTTGAAACTTCTCACAGGAAAACCAAAAAACTTCATTGCTTAGTGTATGAGAACCACATTGCCTTTTCCACACTGCTCTGGTTTTAGTTGGTTAAAACTGTCTTAAACCCATAGTGACTAGATTTGAGGTGTATGTAATTTGAAGACATGAACTTTAGTGACATGATGGTAATCTAAGATGGATTTTGCAGAAATCTATGCTGGGAATTTGGGTCTGCATGCTGTAGGAGACCTGGAGCACAGTAGAGAGCATCCTGTGCAGGAATGAGGTCCAGCTGTGTTACATGCTTTGTCCAGCTCCAAAGGGTTCAAAAGGCATTTTTAGTTTATATTTTCAGTTGCACAGAGTGTTCGTGTGTGATTTTTTTTTTTCCTTTTTCAGAAGTTTAGAAGGAACTGAAATAGAATATTTTATTTTACAAAGTTGTGTTTTAAAGCAATGCTCTGCTAGTCCCTGGTGAGGCTAGAACAATATACACAGTGCATGGTGTTGAGTGAGGCAGCTGGCTCCCGCTCTGGCTGCTGGAGGTATCTCAGGATTAATTCAGGATGTTTGCATTCAATTGCTACAGTTTTAGGTTCCTCACAAAATATTATACTGGACCAGGTAGTAACTCATACAACTCAAGTTGATGTTAAGTGTTATGCCTATACATCTTCCAACTTTTCCTGTTTGATTGGCCTGGTTTTTCAGAGGAAGATGTCTTAGCTTTACATAGCAGTAGTTTTCGTGGAGGAAACGGGCTAAGGTGAGAAAATTGTGCTGACATATACAGCACAGTGCACATTTCTCTGCAAAGGGGCAGAGAGAATATTTGAAGTCATCCGTGGTCTGAAATATTTAGCAGATAGGCAGTTGTGACTCAGTAAGGGTTTTAAAGATGCAGTAAAATACATGGACCAGCAAGAATCCATCTCACCCTGATTATAATGGAAAACTGAAGAAGGAATACCAAATTCAGTGCGGTACAGAGTGATAGATTCTGTGTGATAAAGATGTCTGGTAGTACCATGCCTGCAGTAAGATTTTCTTTCTCTTCTTTTCATGTTTGCTTGAGGATTTAAGTGTAGGTGAAAACATTACAGATCCCTTTCCAATCTGCAAATAAGTAAAGGGGTTTGTCTTACTATTGTCACTTAAAGCTGTTAGAGCAAACAAATGTGGCAGGATGCAGGAGCAGTGTCAGATCCACAGTGCACAAAGCATAGACACAAGGTTGCTTTTTTCCTGGCGTTGTATTGAATCCCCTATGAGAGGCTTCAGGAAAGGCAACAAGGGCAAATGGCTGAGCGATGTTAATGTTCTGAACCCAGGATCCTAGGCACTGATGATTCCCAGGTCTGGAAATTCTCTTTTCATTCTGTTTTGTCCAAAAAAAGACTTTATTGACAGTGATTTGTTGATGCTGACTTGTTTCACTGATTCCTTGTTTTAAGGAAACATTAGGTAGTTAAAGGCTGGAAGACTCAATTGTCTTCCGATTACAAGCCACTTCAAACATCAAATAGACTCTGTTCTCTGTATACAGGGCAGATATTTCACCAAAATCTGTCTACCTTCAAAGTCCAGGTATGTTTCTTAATGAAAATTTGGTTTGGCAACACTTCCATCAGTCGCTATTTAGCCCGTTTCCAGGTGTGCTATAATCCAGGTGTCCAGTGACAAATCCATGCCTGTTGGCCTTCTGGTAGCAGTGCTCTTTGCACTGGCTTGTAATTTGGTTATTCTTTATTCAACGGACTAGTTTTCAGGTCCTGGAAAGAAGAATCCTTTCTCTAGCCCAGACACCTTCTCTTGCAGGAAACACTCACCGCAAGCAGACCTTTGGGCAATTGTAAATCAGTTTCTCCATTCAAACCCCATTTTTCCTTTCCCTTTCTTTCATACAGGTTGATAAAGTGTGTGGACAGCCCAAACAACAAGAAGAGAACCTGTCATCAGATAACATAGTGCCAGTGAAGGAAGTGACTGAAACCCAGACATTCGTGATGGCTCATGCTAGTCTGAACAACAAAAGAAGGTAACTCTAAGCAACAGTTGCTTTGAAATGAACTCTCTGCCTCACAATTTGTGTTAATGGTTCCTTGCACCATGGTGTTTAAGCCAGAGCCACGGTTCTGTGACCTTGTCTGTTTGCTATCCAGCCGTTGCCATCATGAACAGTTACATAGATGTCTTTGTGGTATTACATTGCAGGTCTCTCCAAGAAAAGCTTTTTACAGGCCAGATTTGATGTCACTACTTAGCACCAAGATGTTCATTATTTCCAGAAACTTTCAGTAAAAGTGATGAAAGCTTTTCCTCAAAAAAGTCTGAGTAATTTCCACAGTTGTGTCTAAATTACCTTAAAATACACTGCCCATGTCTTTAAGGACTTGAGCTTATCCAGGGGCAGAGATGGGAAGGAGGAATGGATGAAAAGGAAAGGGTGCCCTGACACAAAGTCAGTCCCTTATTTCTCAGGGCTAGGGAGAAGTGATAGGATCCCTTATAATCTCCTTGATTTGTTACATAACTGAACAAGAGCAGAAGCATTTGTTGGCGCTTGTGTCCATCTTGGCTTTTATTTTTCAGTTTTGTGCCAGTTGAGACACTAGACAGCTGAATTACTGCCTTGGGGCCCTGGCATGAGATATCCCTGCTCCCAGATCTCCTAGTCTTTCTTTCACTCTCCCTTCTGTAGCTCCTGTATTGGTTTTCTGCAAATTTTAAGTGGGGAGGGAAGGACATCTTTGCAATCCCACTCATGGTACATGAGTAGATGTCGAAGCTAACTGACCATAAAATCACAATGACATATTTCTGGCTAACATGTTGTTCTCTAACACCAGTATCTGGAACAGCTTCAGTGAAGTGAGTGGAATGGTGCTGGATTTATGCCTCAATCTGAGAACAGTATCTGATCTGCCCAGGGAGTCCATGTGTATCTGTGTTGGATAGATGGATGACAGACAATAATACTAAAATTCCTATATTCTGGAGTTTGAGTTGTGAAGATGAGATTTTTATCCATTTCTATTTTAATTCTCATCTAAGCTTGCATGAATGAAACAAGCTACTTTAAAAGATAAAAGTAATAGCAAGCTAGGTTTTTTTGAGTGATAGCAATATTTTTATCCCTTTGTAATTTAAAACCAAAACACAAAAGTTTGTGCTAGTGCTTGGAGCTAATCAATTTTTACCATGTAAATCACAGAAGAGAGCATTAAGGAAATTAAATTAATAAATTCAGCAGTAATAATCCAAAGAGCAGTGTAGTACAATTAACAAAATGCACTTTTAGAAACACAGACCTCCAGGCCATCTTCTGTATAACTCATTGACTTCACTGGGACTTATATGCTGGCAACCGAAAAGGAAAAATTATTAACCCATTAACAGGTAACTTCTGAAACAAATGCAAATTGGTGTCCTGAATAGCGAGAATTCTTTCTCCTCTTCCCAACCATCTAGAAGTGTTTGGATATTACCCTTTTAAAATGTAAGACCTGTAGATGGAGAAGAAAATACACTGAAACTGATGTACAGTAAATTAGACAGTTTCCCCAAATTGGTGTGTGAACTGAAAATGTATTTATCAAAAAAATCTAAACCAAGGCCATCCTTACATAATTAGCATAAAATATTACTGAAATACAGTGTTGATAGGTATTGTGGAGAGCCTATGCACCAAAAATGAATGATGGAGCCATGCCATAATTAGTGAGAAGTGGAGAATATTTTTAAATTTTCCACAACTTACTATAAAACACATGGCATGAAGTTTCTACTTTGCTTCTTTGAAACAATTGTGGAACAGTAAATAGAGTGAAATACGCAGTGATTGGCTACATCACTGTGGTGTTAATCCTCTATCATTTAATCACATATGATATCAATAAAAAGCAATTTTAGGTAATAATAAAATGTTATAATGGATGGGTGAAAGCATTCCCATGGCGGATTGTGTCAAATGCGCTTAGAGTGACAGATAACTGCTCCAGGGGATGTAGATTATGAGAGTGATTACGTGAGTCTTTGTTGGTGCCATTCCTTTGGGCGATTTGAAAAATGAAGAGCAATAACATCAGCTGTCTGTCAGCTGAAGTACAGGGTCACACAGGGAATCGACCCGAATGAATCTGTTGCTCTGTGTAGTAGGCATACCTCCCAATGATCCTTAATTCAAGGGGGGTTGGGAACATGGCTCCTGCCTTTTAGAATAAGGAAAGGAAAAGAGAAAGAATGAGCCAGCACCCCCCAGGTAAACAGAAAAGGGATGGCTCATTCCTTCAATGTGTCAGAAGATTCCCGAGCTCAGAGAAGCACTGGTGTGGCTAGCACAACTGTGGGAGAAACCACGATAAAGTAGCCTCATCTCTGCTGTAGTACCCGATTAGAGATGCCCCTAAAAACCTCATGCCAAGCAGCTTATGCCTATGTAGGTGTGTTTGCTCCGAAGGTATTACATCTTTGCAAGGCCACTTACAAAACCAAGCTCCTTTTCTGAAGAATTTGAGAACATTTGGTTTCAGCTGTTCAGTAGAGCCAAGGCTGTTCATTCGGTTGAATAAATGGGACTGTTAAGATGGCATCTCTTTGCCTGACTGATCTTTCTTCTGGATGTTTGTTTTTTGAGTCTGGCTGGAGGCAGCCTTCACCCTCCGCTGTTCTGCTCATCATGGTCCTGCATGGTCCCTGAATTCACATAGCAACTGGATCTTCTTTGGTGGTAGTTTGAATCCTTTTCTGCTCCTCTTACTCTCATGGGTTCTTGGGAGATTTCCTATCTATCTTTATTTTCCCTTGCATTGTATTCCTGCATGTTTTTGTCATGCAACACCAAGTGTTAGGGACAATAGTGTGAGAAGCTGAAACTTGAATAAATGTTCTATGATCTTGTAGGAAACTTTTTCCTCTGATTAAGCTGAAAAGTGTAGATTTGAGTAGGAATCTTTTTTTTTTGTTGGCATTACACAGTCGTATTCAGGGATTAACTGAAACGGGCAGGATTGCTGCTGTAGTCATTTTTTAATGTGGAGGTTTCTATAACATGTAGTAGAGATGACAAGAAAATTGAAACCATATGATGGTACAGGGACTGTACATGGCATGTACAGAATCTCAATCAGTGAATTGGAATATTATTGCTGAATTCAGCACAAAGAGCTATTCTGGTCAGGGTCCCAACTCCTAGAAAAGTTGAATACCTGCTGTTTAGCATGTCTACTGCATGTAATATTTCAAACCACTAAACATAGACTGGTTACAGATCTGTATATAAAAATGTTATGTTTAACAAAGAACTATAATGTGATACTAGTCCCGAATTGAAGGAGGCAGGCTTTGAAATGATATTTTTGGGGATTTCTTTTTTATACTGCAGACTTATGGATCTTTGATACATCTTAAACAATTTTCAGATGTTTTGGGAATGTTTGAAGTCAATGGCATCTCTTTCATTTAAAATTAGCTATCTATTGAGTCAGGCATCACAAGATATTATTAAAATTTGAGTATTAAACTGCTAGTACAAAACAGGTTATTAATGCCAGATGTAAATTAACTTACTGTGGAAACAAATCGATCATCTCTGACTGGCCAAGGCAGAAGTTTCAGCGGGTCTAGATTTTCCCTGTTACAAATTCTCATTTCCTTTTTTAACTGACTGGGTTGGAATCCCTGCTTCAGTGATGACAGATGACACTCACCTGATGATCAGTGCAGGGCCATCCTCTCCTGTGGTCACCCTTGCTGTTAGCTCCCAGGAAGTATGATGGCAAAGCCACCATGGTCTCAGTGTCCTCAGTGCTGCTGAAGGTGTTGATTACTCTCTCCAGTAAGAGTTAACTGGATTGACAAGTGTCGTTGAACCTGTTTGCAGGCAGGCATTATGTGAAAGTATAGGTAAAAGAAAGAGCAGAATGTGGTACTAAATTATGTAAGTGGAAAATTGCATCATGATGTTAGTTAAATACAATATTTAATGTTAATTGAGGGACCTTGAGATATCAATGCCACAAAATGCATTTGCACTAAATATCTACTGGTTACTTCTACAGTTTTTCCTTCAATAAAACCTTAGATCCTGTGTCTCCTGTTTTGCAAAGTTGTGGGTTGTTTTTTTCAGTGGTGCAGTCTGGCCAGAACCGAACAGCAAATGATGTCTGTATTTGCATCATTTATTAACAGACAGCAAATGGCACATTGTACCAGAACATGAATGCTACTTGTTTGTATCCCCCTTCCCAGGGTGCTCATTCGAAACTGTTTGCCATTGTTTTCTTGTATAGCCCGATATATTTACAGTTCATCCATTTGGTATCATTTACAGTTAATTTAAGTACCACTGACTTTATTTTCAGCTTTTTGCTATGTGTGCTGCATTTGTAATTGTACTCTTATTTGAAAATGATTGGGAGAAACAATCTTGGTTGTTGTTTTTTTTTTTTTTCAGTGTTGCATTGACATTTTTAATTGCATCTATACTTCGGAAAAATCTCATGACAATTTTCCTCCTTATTTGTTTTCTTATATTATCCTATGCATGTGCTTGATGACCTTTCTTTCAAATAATTTTTACTTTTCTTTTGTTTCTCATTTCTTTTCCTCATTTGCCTGAATTCCTGCTTCTCCCTTACTCCCCAACCTCTCCTGATTGATGCTTATTCTCCCGGGCCTATTCCAGTTCTCTGCCTCTGAAAGCTTCAAAGAATGACAAATCAAGAAGTTTGAAAAAAATCTCTCGGTAAGAATGAAAACAAGGTGACATACTTCGTTGTCTCTACACTTAGCTCATCTCTATTATAAATTGCTGTTTCAACTGTAATCTAGGAATTGACATACTTTCGATTACTGCTTTTATTTTTATTTTGAAAACTGTACATTTTCTACCTGGTGCGTTTAGTTTTATACTGATGAAAAGTAAATATTTTCACTTTTTAAGATTGAGTTGGACATAGAATTCTACCTTTATTATGCTGCTACTTTGAAATATCAGAGCCCCGCTCTGCTGAAAATAGGTAGGAGTTTAAGCGTCTTGGGGTGAGCTGATTAAGAGAAGCTTTAGTCTCTTAAAATGGTACTCTCTCCCTCCTTCAAAGAAAACTCCGGTTTAGAACCTGTGAAAAATTTAGCATCTGTGTTGCCTTTCATAACTGATACTTTCAGGCTGTTCTGTCAGGTAGGTGGCCTGTCTGGGCCTCGCTTTACTGTATAAATACTTAGAGGTCATAATAGTTAGTGGTCAAGAGGTAGAAATACTGATTCCTTTGTCATAAGCCCTAAAATTCGTGCTTTTTTCTTGGCTTAAAATGGCAGCTTTCCTGCATTGTTGGGGGAGGTTAGTTCCTTAGGACCATGTGATGACTAATTTATCTAGTTCAGGACTTCATCACACAGGATAAATGCCCAGGGAAGCTGTGGATGCCCCATCCTTGGAAGCATTCAAGGCCAGGTTGAATGAGGCTTTGGGCAACCTGATCTAGGGGAAGGTGTCCCTGCCCATGGCAGGGGATTTGGAACTAGGTGATCTTTAAGGTCCCTTCCAACCCAAACCATTCTATGAAATGGGATGGTTAAATGCTTTAGAAAAAGCATAAAGGCAGCTATAGGGAGAGATGACCACTGCCTAAACCTTGCAGGGCTAGATACCTAGCAGTGGACTTTGATATTGTTTAAAACACCTGTTGCTCCCAAATGAATCATAAATCCTGACTGCTTTTGTGCCAAGTGCCATCCAGCTGTATCCCCAGGCACCTTTTCAGTGCAGTGTCCCCTTACAGCCTGCCCGGCAGAAACGTTAATAAACCAGAATGACTCCTTTGACCTTCCCAATGGGGCTATGGAGGCACTTGTGAAACAAATAGCTCCATGATAGCTCTAGCGAATTTTTGTCCTGCGTCTTGTTCTCAGTAACTTTAACATCTTATGCCAAACAGGAGCTTGTAAAGCTGTGGAGGTGTAGGGTAATTTCTCATTCTGAAATACTCTCAATTGTGTGCTGAATTAACGCTTGTGTTGTTACAGTGTATTTTTATGGATATCTCAGCCAGATATATATTATAGCTATAATCAGATTATAAAAGAGGCAGCAGTTTGACCACAAGGCATTTTTCCATACACACGTGATCAGAAATGAGCTGTTTGTACTGGCCAGGAGTTTTGGTTATTCACCAAAGCAGCAGGCACAGCCTCCTAACAAGTGAGGTGCCAGACATTTAGGAAAGAGAAATTTCTTTCCAATAAGAATGTGACATGGTTTAGTGATGATGGGGAGGAATTGGCCCCACCACATCTCAGAGAGATGACTTTCTGTACTGTTGTTGCTTGTGTGGGGTACTTAGAGCATATTGCAGGTTTTGTAACGGGATGGTAGCTTTAGGAAGCCTTTCCCACCCAGGAGGTTGTTGACAGTGTTTTTAATTCATCTCACACATGTGCAGGAAGTGAAGAAATACTCACTTCCAGTAACAGAAAAAAAGCTCCCTCCTTTAATGATAGTATTTTCTCATGATTTTTTAAAGTCTCTTTATATGGAGATAATAGGTATAGACTTTTTTTCAAATTTTGAGATGCGTTAAACTAATTTGTTAAAACCACCCTTTGTATGTAATTATGTGTATTAACAGTGGACTAAGACTGGATGATACGTAGGAGTAGAAATACACTAGAAATAAAAATTAATCAACTTGGATGACTTAATTTGTATAAGGGTTCTAAACTCTTAGTCTTCTGGAGGGTTAAATTGACAGGGGGCTTAAACCAGAAATGTACTGTTCTGTTGTTAAATGTGTTCTTCCTACATTACAGAGAGTTCATCAATTACATGAAGCGATCCCGAACCTTTTATGCCTCTATAGCAGAAAGGCTGTGTGATGGAGACCTGGTGATGAGAGACAGCTCAACCTGCTGGAATGGAGAGGATGTTGTAGAAAGGTAAGGTTGCAAGCACAAGTTTTCCCTAATGGTGGAAAAGGTGGCTGTCATTGTTCCGATGGTTCAGAAGTATCCTGAGGCACTGTTGTCATCGTAAATTTCTCCATCGTAGTGAACTTGATGCTTAATTGAGCAAGGGTTTTGCTAAAACAAAAAGTTGTTAATGAGGTTTAGGTATCTGTATTAAATACAGTGGAATGCTTTCTTGAAGGGCTGCTTTGAGGAGTCCCTTTCTTTTACTGTAGAGAGACAGTGCTTTGTCTGTAGAGAAGTCTTACTCTCTAAAGCTCTGTTAGCAAGCAGTAGCTCCTTGACTGACTGGAGATCCCTTCCAGTCTGCAGTTTATAGGCTCATTAGTGGAGAGCTGAACATCGTGGTTGGCCATAATTAAACAATATGTAGCTCTTCCTGTTAAAGTGTTAGAAAAATACAGTGACCAGCCCATTATTTTTTTAAACAATTTCCCTGCCATTTCTTTTCAGAGTTTCTGACACAGTACTTAGAATAACGACTGGTTTTGGAATTGCCTAGCATCCTTACCAGAGCATGTTCCATAGGATTTCTTATGAAGTAACAATTAATAAATGCATTGTTCCATGTAGATAAAGCAGCTAGAAGCTCTGTAGGGCGAAAATATCTTTCTAGTCTGTCAGCTATTTTTTTCCACTATGTATTTTGTCACAGTCTTTCCCATTGCCCTTTAGAATCCAAATTGGAAAATACACTTGCACTCTCCATGAGCTAAACTACTTGCGGTAATTTCTCTTACTGTGTATAACATGAGGCAACATTACCCTGAGGAGAAAAAGAGCTGTTCAGAATACAACCATATCTGTTACTATCACTGTTAAAGTATACATTGGTTTTTGCAGTGAGAGCTGGTTGGAAGTGTGCCAGTGAATGTTTTCCAGAAAACATCTTTTTGTCGAAGCAGAGATGTTCCATGGGATTGTGTTGGCTTTCATGAGGTTTCTTTCTGGAGTGTTTTCTGTGGTCTGTAACAGTTTTAAAAGATAGAGTTCTAGCATTCTATTTTCTTGCTTTAAAATATTTTTCATGATTGAAAATAGTTATATAGGAACTTATGGAGTAATTCCAGTATGGAACAGAGAGATATGTTATGATTATAGACTGTCCAGTCAGAGTTCTGACTCCCACACAGCTCTGCTTAGAGTTCTCATGTGTAAATAACTTCATCTTAATTACATCTGAGATACTCAGAGATAAATACATGTCTAACACATTTGAAGATAACTGTGAAGTTTAATATTTCAATGTGTATTGGCGTTACAAATTCACAGAATCACAGAATACCAAGTTGGAAGGGACCTTAAAGATCATCCGATCCAACCTTTTGTGTCAAAAGCACAGTCTAGACAAGGTGGTCCAGCTGAATCTTAAAAGTGTCCAATGTTGGAGAATCCACCACGTCCCTGGGGAGATTATTCCAATGGCTGATTGTGCTCATTGTGAAAAATATTCCTCTTGTATCCAGTCGGAATCTCCCCAGGAGTAACTTTTACCCGTTGCTCCTCATCTTTTCCATGTGACTCCTTGTAAAAAGGGAGTCTCCATCTTCTTTGTAGCCACTCTTTGAATACTGGAACATGATGATAAGGTTCTTTTCTCAAGGCTGAACAAACCAGTTCTCTCAGCCTTTCCTCATATGACAGGCTCCCCAGTCCTTTGATCACCTTTGTGGCCATTGTCTGGGCCCATCCTTTCCAGCCTGTCCACATCTTTTTTGCAGAGCAAAGACCGAAACTGAACATAACCTTCCAGGTGTGGCCTGACAAGTGCTGAGTAGAGTGGAATAATGACTTTATTTCTGGTGATGTTGCCCTTGTTGATGTAACCCAGCATCTTGTTGGCTTTCTTTGCCACAGCAGCACACTCTTTGCTCATACTGAGCTTGTTGTCCACCAGGACCCCAGGTCCCTTTCCACAGAGCTGATGCCCAGCTGGGTAGATCCCAGTCTGTGTTGCACTCCTGGATTATGTTTTCAAGGTGCGAGACCTTACACTTGTCCTTGTTGAACTTCATAAGGTTCTTGTTAGCCCACTCTTCCAGCCTGTCCAGGTCTTCCTGCAGAGTGGCTCTCCCTTCTGAAGTGTCCACCTCCTCACTCAGTTTGGTATCGTCAGCAAACTTTGTCAGGGTACACTTGATCCCATCATCCAAATCACTTATGAAGATGTTAAACAGCATGAAGGGCAAAGCTGTTTGCTTTATTTTTTTTTCCTTTGCCAGTCTGTAGTTTTCCCAGAGCTGGAGATGTTGAAAAGTTTCACATTTCAAAGGGGTAGGAAGCTGGGAGAAGTACCAGGGAAAAGGCTAACAAGATCCTTCATATTTTGAATTAAAAAGCAAAAACAAAGGGAAAAAAACCCCAAACACCCTACACCCCAACAATGACACCAAAAAAACAAACACCACCAACCATGAATTATGTTTATAGTTAACATATTAAATGGACAAATTAGAAAATAAAAGTGAAAACTCATATGTTTAATCAGCAACATGTATATATTTATCACTTCTGTCACAGTACTGATTGCCTTAAAAGGAGGAGACTTCCTGGGCAGCCTGCGCTGCCAGCAATCCTACACAGCAGCACAAACATGCCACCTGCCTGCTGGCAAATTTTACTCCTTTCTTTTATAGACTGGACTTGTCACCAGTTCTCCCTACATGAGAATTAAACCTGTGCTGGTGATGCATGAAGATGCATTTCTTTTTGCTCTTTCGCCTTTGCCAGGAGATCAGGGGGTTAAATATCAGCAGTAGGAAACAGCTCTGAACTCAAAATAGAGCCTTGTTCTTAACTCTGTGTCAGAAAATAGATCACCCCAATTAATCTGGTGGATCTCTTGTGAAGCTGAGTTTAAGGTTACTCAGACTGCAGAACTGGCAAAAGCTGCAGTTCCTGTTTCCTCAGTGCTGCTTGCGTTTCATAATGCCGTTTGAAAGCTGAGCCATGTTTATGCTGCGTGCTAATTGGCATTCAGACTCTTTAGGAAAAACAAACTCAACCTTCAAAAACATTTTGACACACAAATGGAGCCTGAAACAGTATGAAATTATTACTCACAAATGGGGATTGTGCATTCAATTAGTAGAGAGGGCACTTGAGGTCTGTCAGAGGAGCTGATAAACAGGATTTTCATTGTACTTTTTTTATTTTATTATAATTCTCTGGATTGGGTTTTACCATGTTTAAACCAATGTACTAGCATGCGAAATAAAAAAGCTTTGAGCTGCCAGTAAATACAACATAAAAAGAGCAAGGTTGTTTCCGCCAGTTTGAGAATATGCTTCTGGCCTGCTCTTCAGATGAACAGCAAAACATGGCTTTGCTAGGAATCCTTCCATGTCACTTCAGGGCCTTTGAAGACATTAGATATGCTTGCTCCAGCAGTACTGTCTTTCTCTTAGTTACTCTTCTGAGCAGCTTACTCCTGGAATGAGACTTCCTATAAGTGATAGTCTGTGAGGCTAATAAATGGTCTGAGTATACACAGAATGCTCAGAAAAGATGAGGCTAGAGTAGAAAAACTGGAAAAATGTTTTGCAAAGTGAAGCAAGCTTAGAGAAACTTCTGTGCTGGAACCTTTCTCTCCTGGCAGTTTGTCAGATGATTATCTCAATACCATGTCAGCAGAAGAGATTGCAGGAGAAGTTGACAGCGTGAACCGTTATGTACTGCCAGGATCAGACACCATTCACCTAAGAACTCTAGAAGGACTAAAGGGTTAAATAGTTGAATTACAGATTGTGATACTGTATTTTCTTTGACTGCTCCAAAGCAGATGATAGATGTGAAACGTGAAGACATCATTGTATTCTTAGCAGAATAAGCATTTCAGAAAGGGATGGCTGATAAACTTGGTGTGTAACAATTAAGTCTGTAGAAACTCTAAACAGAGGAACATGACATTTAAGGAAAGTAGTCAACATATTGAGAGGTTTTAGAAGGAGATAACAAGCATGTAGACAGGGTAGAGGTTGCTGTAGTCTGCTTGGATTTCTGATAGATATTTGATAAGGTCCCTCACACAAGGCTGGTAGAGATGAAAATAAGGGTAGGTAATAGATGGTCATAAGTTACAGTAGAAAGAGGTCACCAGTGGCAGCGCATGGGGATTTGTGCTGGAACCCGTGCTGTTCATCTGTCATAAAAGACCTGTTAAGGGGCGTGAATACTGGGGTGACAGCATGTGCTGATGATACTAAGTTAAGTTGGGTAGAAAAGACAAGGGTCAAGTGTGGTTAATTGCGAGAGGAACTCACGGAATGCCCAGGCAATAAAATGGCATATGAAATTCAACACGGGTAAATGGAAAGTGATTCACTTAACAACGATCCAAATGTTGCATACGGAATGGTGTGCACTGAAGTGGCTTTCACTGCTGCAGGCACGTGGTGTCTGCAGTTCTGTTGTCCCTCAGGCTTGGAAAGATAGAGTACAACCACAAATGTACAGAGGAGGCAACAAGGAGGAGGATCCGAGGGCATGAAGTGGATGCTATATGTGGAATATCAGACACTCAAGCCTGACACAGAAAAGATAGAAGGGGAATATGATAGTGGCCTATAAAAATCATGTGTGTCATGGAGATGCTGAATGGGGATTTGTTGTTCACTGTCTCTTTAATTACAAGAAGGAGCATCTTCTTAATAAGTGACAGCTTGAAAACAGGTGTAGATATTCCATTGCTAAACTTTTGGTTAAGCTGTGAAACTTCTTGCCTCAGGATGTTTGGACGTTTAAAAAAAATGGACGAATTCATGAGCGAATTTAGCTCATAGCATACCAAGTTGTAAAATGACTATCTGAGCCAATACGAGGCAACCAGGTGCCACATCCAGGTCTCTTTCTCAAAGAGCTGAGGCAAAAATTTAGACAAAAGATTTCCTCTGGTCACCCTTCAGCAGCTACTCCCATGGACTTCTTTTCTGTAGGGCCTAAACTGCAGGAACCTTGCTCTCCTCGGAAATATCTCTTCAACTAAGCTAAACGCTGGCATTAAATCACTTTCTCCGTTCTCCCCGGCCCCAGTAGCTAAACAGTATTTACTGTCTCAGGTCTCAGCCTCATAAATGGCAGACTGGTACAATACAGTGCCAAAGGACTTTCCCAAAAGCTTAGATTGAGTTTTTCTGTTGATGTCAGATTTACACCTTTGCACAAAACATGGATTAACTTTAGAAATCCTTTTAATGAAGTTTGGCTTTTTGTGAAGTCTAAGCTGCAGTAGAGTAGCCTTGTCAGAGACAGCTTTTTCTGCTGCTAGAGAAGGGAAAAGGAGATGTCATCTCACTGGCAGGTTTTTGGGATGTGCCTGTGTACAACAGATGAGTAATCCTGGTTTGGAAATAGCACTTTAAGAGAGCAGTATGTTAAAGTCAGTTAATCATTAGGTCTTTCCACTTCTGCCTGCCTACTTATCTCTTGGCGTTTCTGTATTATAAATAAGAAATAGAGAAGCGGTAATCTGTGTACAGAAGAATTAAAACACTGTGGGTTTAGTTGGCATTCATTATAGCCAACTCTAGGCACTGCATACACTGTCCCAGTTCCGCCATGGCTGTGCCGTTAGTCCTCGGAGGGAGGCTGACTGCAGCCGGAGGACTGTCAGCTGCAGTGCAGGCGGCTCAGGCTCCGAGGCTGGAGTGTGGAAGTTGCTCAGAGGCACATTCAGCAACCTCAGTGCTCAGATGTCAGCGACAGCCTCCTCCTTGGTATATCTGTGCTTAATCCTGAAGCAAAGATGATGCTGCAGCAGCACTCTGCATCCTCTGAGCTCTTCTAGAAGGTGTGTTGTCAGGGCAGCCCCAAAGACGTGCCCCAGTTATCATGTAAATGGTCATGTGCTTTTAGCAAGGCCATTTCAAAGATAGTACTGTCACATGAACGTGTCGGGATCTCAGGATTTTTAAAAGCTGAGAGGTCTGCTCGTGACTGGCTGTGTGTGTGGACTGTCCCGCAGGAGAATAGACATGAAAACCTTTTACGTTGCTCCTCCAGAAAGTGTTGTGATTTTAGGAGTTGAAATTTAGAGGCTGACGGATGCCAGTGTGAACTGTAAGATTGCTGCTCCCGTTTCAACTCTTTCTTTGCTTAAGGAATAAGCACTTGCGATTACTTTGATACACTCTAAAATGCACATCTTCTCGATTGCGATGTTCCAGTAAGCAAAAACCAGCTGGAGTTCTTACAGTAGGAAAATGTGAGCTGGTAATGAAGAAGAAAGTTAAGTTACTGGCTTTGTTATTAGTGGTGGTGGGTACTTGGGATCTCTGTAACAAAAGCCTCCTTTTCTCAGGTGCTGAAAGATACTTTTAGGCTGTGTCTCCAGTGCACAACAGGCATGGATCTTCAGAGAAAGGGATGGTGCTGATAACGCGGTGCCCACACTATCTGTGCTTTGGAGGTTTTACTGCAGACTAGCTCTGGTGCATTTCTGGGGACTGAACACCACTAGCGTCCTTGAAGTGCATCCTTAGTTTCACTGAAAAAGAATGTGGTTCTGAGACTGCTCTGCAATGTAGACTGGAGTGTGAGAAATGGTGATTCTCAGGGGATTAATTGAAAAATATAAACCTCATCAGAACTAACATGATAATGTAAACACACCTGGTGGTCACCTGGACACCTGCATTTGAAGTTTGGAGTCTGAAACTGTAGCTGCCTCAACTAATAAGTACTTAGTGGCTGTAATTAATGTGTACATAAAAAACCCCAAATATATATATACATCAATGCAGTCTATTGACGCTGTTAGTCTATGGTAACAGTTTTGGTAGCACTCTGCCCCTAACAGTGAGGTGGAGTAGTGCTTCTTCAGAGCTGTCAGACTGGGCTGGCTCGCAGGTTTGATGCTTTCTGAAGAATTCCGCAGAAATGTCTCATCCTGGAGCTGAGCGAGCCTACCTGTGCTAGATGTGTGAAACCTAAGGAGATTACAGCAGGTGCTGATGTGGCTGTAGGTGGTAACCTGAATCCAGGCTCTTGGCTGCTTTTGATGCTGTATTTTCTATTTACAAAAAAAAAAAACCAAACCCAACCTTGTTAGAACAGTGTCAACCTTCAGATTGATGCTGAAAAAAAAAAAAAAAGGTTTCAAAAGTTTGGCAGAGAAATTCTTCCTTGGAAGAAGCGAATGTGCATCAAGACCATGATATGCAGCAGCTCTACATGACTTTTCCTGAGAAAAGGGTCATGACACTTCTAGGTCAGTGAGGCATTTTATAAGTTACAATTGCACTGTAGATGTGCAATTTTTGTTAGGGGTTACTGCTACTTGGTGCCTAACTGTGGAACAGGTTGGAGGTTTCTACAGAATTAGGAGGTTAAAGAAAGGGAAGGTACTATTTATATAAATATATATTTTTTTTTTTTTTTAGAGTGACTGACAGAATTGTTAACTGTTTCAGAGGCTTTCCAGACCTCTTCATGTCATGTGATTATTTTTTTCACACCCAAAGCCAAAGTAAGAGGAGGTCAATTAACAGGAGTTTGGGCAAGTCAGTAAAGCCAGACTACTTCTGAAAACTTGGGAGCTAAAAATGTGTGAAAGAAAGAAGGGACTTACTAAGTGGCATGTAGTGATGTTTAAGTATATCAACAAATCTAAGACAACTCTGTGTCTCATTGTATTTTTAGGAGTCTTAAGTGAAACGCTAGTTAGAATAGCTGTCACAGGTTTTGCTGCAGTGAATCTCTAGTGAAACAGAGCAGCTGTAGTGGTTATTGTGGCCCACTGATCTATACTGCGTTTGTGAAATGGCTTGGGAAAGTCAGGAAGAAATAGTAGATTGTGTCAAGAAGAAATGAACATTGCTGGGATTTTTTTGTTTGCCACAGTCATCAAAATATTTCTGAAGTAAATTAAATCCTGATGGTTTCTCAGTGTTTTATCATGTTCTGACTAGGTCTTCAAAACATACTTCAGAACTAATATTTCTGGTTCCAAGTCTGATATCTT